TGAGAACAATAATGAAGTTGGACTATTAATATATCTAGAGAGGTTAATAAAGACTTTGTCTAAAGGTCATAGTAGACTTCACATAGAAAGTCATTACACAAACAAACTGGAAAATTATTTCAATGAGAAAATAACTTAATTTTTCTATCTTAATTTATGTAGTATCGATTGATTAGGCAAAGAATTATTTGAGAAAAAAAACAAAACTTTTAACGTAAAATAGATCTTAAATATTCGTATAACTATAAATCATCACATTAATAATAAAAAATTATTCTTATCGTATAAACTTAAAAGAAAGTGTTATTCATAATTAATTATGACAGAATATTTTATTTGATTTGATTAAATCTGACTTTTTTATTATTAAATAAAATAAAATTTTCAGGAGTTTTCTTAGCATGTATTTTATTCATATTAATTCATATCAAAATAAACAAGAGAAATCTGACTTACCATGAAACTTTATAAAATTAAATTATTGAAGTCATTAAATAACAATGATATCATATATTATATATAAAGTTTGAATTTTTCCTCCACCTCTCAAATTTCAACTACTACAATTAGTGTTGACATTTTACAACATCAACAACCATATATTATATATGTGTGCTCATATTTAATACACCTTCAAAATAATTCTCCAATTCTTGAAACTACTCAAATTTTCTCTAGAAATACTCAACAAAAATATTTTCATATTTTTTCAAATATGGTTCATCCATTATTGCCAAGAAATAATGGTGATCAAAACTTTATATGTTCCATGGCATTACCAATTGGTTTATTTCTTTCAATAATAGCTCTTATAGCCCTATGTGCTAAACATGGAAGATCAAGAAAATACAATATGGCAACTAGTGATCAAGAATCAAATTATGAAGAGAAAATATTAGCTCCAAAATCATCACAATTATTACTTTCTACAAAGCAACTCATCACAAATATAAGCTATAAGGCTTTGCCAAAAAAGTTTAGTGAAAAATCAGAAGTGATTAAAAGTGTTTCAAATGATCATAATGAAGGTGGATTGTGGCAAAAAGCAATCTTGATGGGTGAAAAATGTCAACCACCACAATTTTCTGGGGTGATTTATTATGATCCTTTTGGAAATAGGGTCAATGAGTTACCAAGATCACCAAGAGCTAGTCCTATGGCAACATCATATGTTAGTCCTAGATAATATTTATATTACTTGTCTCTTTTTGGCAATTATAACATTTTGCACACACACACACACACACACACATATATATATATATATATGATTTTCTATTCTCTGTTTATATATAAATTTGAAGATTAATGGTGTATGATGAAACGACTCAATCGCTTATTTTTAGTTAAAATGCTCAATTTAATGTTTGGAGACTTTGTACAAGTCATATTTGATCATTTAGGATTTGTTTGGATGGTTTTGATTGGGACTAGGGGCGGAACTAGGTAAGGCTGAGGGGTTCATTCGAAGGTCATTTGACAAAAAATTACATTGGTTATATATAATTAAAATTATTTTTATGTACAAACATAGTAGATGTTGAACCCTCATCGACTTTTTCGTATGTTTACAGTTTACTTACTCATATTATGAATCATTTAGTGAAAATTCTGAATAAGCCTCAAGGAGTTTGGATGGGGTTTATTCAGTAAAAGGAGAGGAACTCATGATGGTTATTGACCTAGAGACATGGAGAGGAATAACAATATGCCATAAAATAAAAAGTGTAACTTTTTAATCATTAATTGAATGACCTGAGAAAGCAACTCTTAAATATAATTTTTTCTGGATCCTTGGCCCAACAAGCACACAATGTAATTTTTTTCAAAATATTTGTTAAGTAGGAGAAACTATCTAATTACATAAATATTTCTATTATATTTACTAATTTTTTTTATAGTTTGAAATAATCACACTTTATCTCATAAATTAATAATTTTATATCAAATTTTAAGTCAAATACACCTAGATACATGTTTTTGCTATCAAATACATTGAACAAGGGAGGAAGGCGAGAACAGGAGGGAGATGAATAAACTTTGTCTATGTACATCAGATACATGCAAATTTACTTAAGTGCATAGTATCTAAAATAAATTACACCTAATTTTGCCCTCATGTATCTCGAGATATATGTATTTGGACGCACCAAAATTTAGTAAGATTCTCAATATTGCAAACTAGCATTTATCTATGTAAGTAGTTCATAAACTAGTCAGATATATGTAAGTTACCCTTATAAGTATAATAAACAAGTAAAAACGAATGATTGAAATAATGGTATCATCTAAAATGATAAGAGACTAGTATTTTTTTTGTACCAATTTATGTAACACATTTTTCTTTTTAGTCCGTCCGAGAAAGACTGATACATTTTCATATTTAATATTTTCCGTTCATATTTATTTGTCCATGTCTGACTTGACACACCCATTAAGAAACAATAAATAAAAGGGTAATTTACTCTATCACCCCTATGAATTATAAGTTATCTAAATATTGAAAAATGAATTGTAGTATTATTTAATAGCAAAAGTAAAATAGACACAAAATGATAAATTATCTCTTGGCTTTTCAAACTGGACAAGTAAAGTTGGACAATTGTGCATCGATCGATTCGGTTCGATTTTATGTATTATTGATTCGGTTTATCAGTTTTTGGTTTTTAAATACGCTAAATCAATAACAGACCAATAAGATATTCTTTATCGATTTCGGTTTATCGATTTTTGGTCATTAACGATTTGGTTTTCGATTTACCCAATAAGAAAATGCTCATAAAATAAATATATGATTTCTCACTTCTCTAACAATTGGACACGATAAAGTGAGACAAGCAAATCAACTGTAAAATGTTTTGATATAGTGAAACAAGAAATATAATGAGAAATTGCATCAATAAGAGTAGATGTAGTATGAAGGCTACAATAACATGTTACAACCAAAACATAATATGAAATTTCTGATGTGAAGTAAAAGTATTGTGACGTGTGAAGTGTGTAGACGGTAGTGTAGAGTACTGATATAGTGTCTAGTTATGTTAAATTATTAATATTTAATATTTATGAAGGGTATAGTAGTAATTTACTATCGTCTTAATGGGTTATCGGTTTACCCAATAACTCAATACTAAAAATCGATGCCAAACCGATAACCCAATAATGTTTTTTATAAAACCAATAAAAATCCATTAACCCAATAACATTTTCTACGGTTCGGTTTTTACACACCCCTAATGTTTAATATATTGGACAAGTAGAGATAGATAGAGAGAGCAATAATTTAACTTTAAAATGTCAAGTTCACCTTTAATGATTAAACAAGCACCTTTGACTTGTTTTAGATTTAATTCTTTCTTAAACTTCGTATCAAATCAAAAATAAAATTATTACTAATGGTCTCAATCAAAATTTAAAAAGAGAAAATCCTCTAGTAATATGATTACATGTAGAGCATTTTGCAAGTTGAAACTTTTTGGAATCTTTATATTTATAAATTATAAGATATGGTTAAAATGAGTAGTACAATGCTAATGAACAGCTCTCAGTGGCCAAAGATCCCACTGAATTTTTTCCCAATGAAAAGGATAGTTTGTCTTTTTTCTAGTACTATTATCTTTGCATCTTTGGGATATTCTTTTAACTAAATTATTATACCTTTTTGAAAAATCATTTTATTTTGAGGCAACTTTAGTATAATCTACTGTTTTCTTAACCAAAAGTACATTATTGATTCTACTGTTTTTTATGGGGCACATAGAATTTTGAATAAAAAATGTCTATTTATAATATACTTTAGATTTTAAAGTGAATTTGAGTATATGATTGTATCACTAAATATGTATTTTTTTAATCATAATTCATAATATTTGTTAGTCCACCATTTGGTAGAGTGGTCCCTTAGTAATCAATTAATATGAGTAGAGTCCTCACTAAACTTTGATTTGATTTAAATAAATAGACAAAAATGGCACTTTCAAGTTTCAAGCCATTGTTTTCATACTTTCGTATGATTTTAGGTCTTGACGTCTGATATTTATATTGAGTTTTATTAATTTGATCGATGTATTATAAATGATTCATTTTCAGACTAGATCTTTGAACAATTTTTTTTTCATTTCTAGAACTCGAACTCCAAACAGTTGGTTAAAAATGAATAAATTTCAACCATTCCATCATAACTCACGTTAGTTGTTTTTACGTCTGGTTCAAGTAAAAGAGTTTGTGTCTGCAGGGACGGAGCCACCTTGTAAGAAGGGGGTTCATTCGAATCTCCTTCGGCGGAAAATTATATTATTTATACATAGTTAAAATAATTTTATATGTATATATAGTAGATGTCGAACCCCATTCGACTAGTTTATGTGTCTATTTCTACAGATTTTGAATCCCTTTATTGAAAATTCTGGCTCCGCCTCTGTGTGTCTGCATAATATCTGAAAAGCCAACTATATATATTCACGTGTATGCTTCTTTTTTGATATGGACATATATCATATATATTCACGTGTATGCTTCTTTTTTGATGTCGACTTATTTAAAGAACAAAATACAAAAGGGATCTTCAATTATTAGAAAATGTCCAAAAAAAAAGAAAAGGAAAATTACAAGATACAACATCTAACATGTCGTTTAAATTTGTTCGAAAGATAAATTAAGTGGGTGAATGTTATAAATTAGGTTGAGTTATATTATTAGGGGCAAAGTTCTTTTAATACTATCCGTTGATGTGTTCCTTTGTTAGTTATAAAAATAAATTTTGTTTGGACGTATAATGAAATGAATATATTTAGTTCGAAAATATAATTACAGTTATATTTCAACGATTTTCAATAGTACAAGAATATATTTGACCCTTTTTCGTCGTTGAAGTGTACCATTAGTCTTAATGGTATCGTTAATTGATAGAATATTCCTCTATTAATGCCACTTGTCACTATCTTTGTACGAGTTCAGGTAGAGGCAGAAAATATCAGATCCTTTCATAAAGCAACTTTTTCTTCTAACATTCTCACCATTTTCCTCCAAATCTCCGCCATTGACGATCAGCTCAGACCTTCGTTTTTTCGTCTATTTAAGCATAAACTGTAACAATGACAGACGTAACTGATGATATAGCAGAGGAAATCTCGTTTCAAGGATTTGATGATGATTGTAGGTTGCTTCAAAGCCTTCTTAATGATGTTCTTCATAGAGAAGTTGGTCCAAAATTCATGGAAAAAGTTGAACGAACTCGTGTCCTTGCTCAGGTTTGTTCTCGGAACGATTTTGTTTATTTTGTATTAGGACTATAAACACATTGAACTACTGTTGATTTTCCCCCTTTTTTTTGGTTGATCATTTATCATGTGGATGGAATGGACGATTTTCTATTTTATTTATGTGAAAGATCTGTTTCCTGCATGCTTTGATTGTTAGGTTTAATGGATTTGTGTTTTCTCTGTTTGTGTTTTACTTTTTTGTACATGCATGTGCTCAAAATCATGTTGATTTAGTGATTGATGTTGTTTGATGCGTCTGTTTTTATGTGTTCTGAGCTAGAGATGATTCTTGTTGAATGATTTTTTTATGTGTAGACTGATGAGGAAATTTTTAGTATGTGTAATTGATTTGTTGAAATTCCTTTTGATCTATATATGTTGCTCGGATTCTTCAAAAATGTGAACGGGTGCATGTGGATACTCCAAAAGTAGTGTGTTTTTGTAGAATCTGATAAGTGCGGCATCGGAAGGGAAGGGTCCACACAACTTAGCTTTTAATACCAGCATTAGAAAAATTAATATAATGCAGAAGTTTGCTGAATTTTGGGTATAATCTTTGAACATGTCTTTGTGATGTCACAATGAATTGGTTTCTTTGTTCAAAAAGGGCAGTGGTAAGTGAAGAATTTACTACTTATAGTATATGGTTGTGCTAATTGGAAGATTTTTTTCTTTCCATCTTTAGGGTGCCTGTAACATGAGAATGGCGGGAATTGAGGATACGGCAGAGCTTCTTGAGAAACAACTGGCATCAGAGTTGTCAAAAATGACGTTAGAGGAGGCGCTTGATCTTGCCCGTACGTTTAGCCATTATCTTAATTTAATGGGAATTGCAGAAACACATCATAGGTGAGTAGCCCCTCATTTCTCTCTGCTCAGCTAATTCATTTACTAGCAAGCGCTTTATGGGTTGCTTATCGCAGTTATAGTAGTAAGGGTAGTAATTCTGAATGTTGAATTGGCTCGGTGAAAGATTTAAGTGCTTGAGTTTCGCCTTTCAATAGGCAGGTATAGAACCACTTAAATGTATTTGATAACTGACTCATGTTTGTAGAGTTCGCAAGACGCGAGGAGTAGCACAATTGTCAAAATCTTGTGATGACATTTTCAATCACCTCTTACAGAGTGGTGTTCCCCCAGATCAGCTTTATGATACTGTTTGCAAGCAGGTTTGTTCTAATCATCCAATTTATCAGTTTACTACATGTGGAAGTGTTTTGATCAGGCGTTTCTTTTTTATTTAAGAAAATTTTCTTCTTACGCAGGCGGTTGAGATTGTTCTCACTGCACATCCCACACAAATAAACCGCCGTACATTACAATACAAACACATCAGAATTGCAGTGAGTTTTCTTTCCCAGAACGTTTTCCGGAAAAGAGTACAGTTGTATATTTGATCAAACCTTCTTTGACTACTGTTTCCCTGTTAATCTTGTGTAGCACCTTTTGGAATATAATGACAGGCCTGACCTTGGGATTGAAGACAGAGAGATGCTGATTGAAGATCTGGTGGGTGCCATTGCATGTTGTGGGTATTAAAGCCACATATTGAACAACTTCACTGATCCAAAAAACTTGTGGTTATTGTAGGTCAGAGAGATGACATCTATATGGCAAACAGATGAGCTCAGGCGACACAAACCTACTCCAGTTGATGAAGCTAGGGCTGGTATTTTTTTGAGATTTGTACAAATTCTGATTTCGACACCTTTTCATTCCAGAAAGACAACAAGTTAAAATCTTTCAGGTTTACATATTGTGGAACAGACACTGTGGAAAGCTGTGCCCCATTATTTACATCGAGTCAGCAATGCTTTAAAAAAGGTTTTGTGTAATATGATTTTTGACACAGTTGTAACGAAGGTATACAATATGTTATAATTGGTTCTGCCTCCTCCTTTTAGCATACTGGAAGGCCTCTACCATTGACTTGCACGCCGATAAGATTTGGATCTTGGATGGGGGGCGATCGAGATGGAAATCCAAATGTCACAGCAAAGGTTACATTTAATATACACTTACATGTAAAAGACTTAGTGTTGTATATCCAAACTAAGTTGAATCGTTATACTCTGGTGAATATGGAGTTTGCATACATTACTTTTTCTGTGTTCAAGATCCAGTATAAATAAAACCTGTCACAGTAAAGTCTTGCTTCCACTTGGGTAATGTTTCTTTTCTCACAAACATTGATGAAACTTCCTAGTATAAGTTCAGTAAACAATCATAGGAAAAAAATAAAATTTTGCTCAGCACATACTTGACGAGAAGCAGAGTTCTTTTTTGCTGCATTCCATTGTTTGTGTAAGCAAAGCCATCACTTGTACTGATGCCGTAACTTCCACCTATAAAATTAACATATACTTTTGTCATTTCAGGTCACAAAAGATGTCTCTCTTCTGTCCAGGTGGATGGCTATTGATCTTTATGTACGAGAAGTAGATAGCCTAAGATTTGAACTTTCCATGACTCAATGCAGTGAAAGATTTGCAAGATTGGCACATGAAATCTTAGAAAAAGGTTTGTCATCTCAAAATTCTTTTGGAAATTTGCTCAGTGGGTCATCCTCTTCTTGGCCGGTGGTAAATTTTTGGCTTTGGTTTGCAACTATATGTTTAGGCCAATGAGTGACAAATGAATCTGGTAATTTTAATCAATCAGCTATCCAAATATTATTTAACATGATTCAGATCATCAAGATGCTAAGGTACCTGATGGTACTCTTTTTTCTTCTTTCTTTTTAAAGTCTAAGTAAAAATTTCAAACGTTCCCTGTTGGTGGATCTCTTTTTCTTTATCTTTTCTTCACCAAAAGTGTGCTACAAAACAGAAGCACTGTTTAGCATGGAAACTATTTTATTCCTATTCTTTTGATAACCGAGAAATCCCTGAGGGCTAGTGACACATGGTTTGAAACTCGGTGGATACTATGTTAGTTCTATGGTTTAGAGGTTGGCCGTTATTTGCTAGTCATGTTTTTGAAGATGCTAATCTTACTGTAGAACTTGTATGTCTCATTCAAATGTTCAATTATTATGCATGGTTATCAATCCAGAAATTTTTCCTTCGTAAGGGATGTATTATGACTCTCAAACTTAGCCCTATGCCAGATAGAATATATTCTAGCTTATTATTTACAGCAGATGGAGGCCTTTTCACTTATCTATTCATCTTGTTTTTATGACATTCTCAAGCAGTTAGGCCATCTCGGTTAAGATCTATTACTGAATTAGAATCCAGGTTTCTATGTTTTCTGATGGTCTCTCGGAATACTGTCCAGGAAATTCTTCTGACAATCACTTTGATTCGTGGAATCACTCCTCAAATTGGAGTCAATCAAAACATCAAGGACAACATGCTCCTCCTTTCCCTACACAGCTTCCTACCAGAGCTGATCTGCCCTCTTGCACAGGTAGTGCATATTCATTATCCATTTTATTTATACTGACAACTTCAGCTTATATCATCTAATACAGTAATGCCTTCAAAATGCTAGAATTCTTCGTTTCAGCTCGGTTATTATTATTATTATTATTGCATTCTTAAGTTAATATACCGTCCTTCCCATTTTATGTGATGTTGCTTGACTGTCCACATAATTTTAGAAAGAAAGAATCACTTTTGAGACTTGTGGTTTATAACAAGCCATATATATGTGTATGACTATTAAATAATCTCATTAAGATTAAAATGGGAAGTTTGAAGTTAACTTGTTCCTAAACATATAAAGTTATTATGGGACAAATAAAAAGGGAAAGTGCATCATATATACTCCATGTTGCGTTAAATTTTCTCTAGCTTTCTCGTTATTTTTCTTTCGCTGTACTAAATTGGTAACCTTTTTGTTGATTTCCTTGATTGTCAAATAGGGTTTGTGAAATCACGAACATATAACTATCAAGTTTATTTTTTTCCGTGCCTTCAAGATGCTTCACGTTTTTGGGTCAATGAATTGGAATTTTGGATATCTCTAATCTAGTAGGAGTGACATAGAAAAATGTCCAATATCTGTAAAAGCAGATACCATAATATGTTTATTGTTGTAATTCATCATCGATGCTCAATGCTGTAAACTGACATTTGTTGTTTATCATGATTTCTGAAGTTCAATTTGCTGCTTTTTCTGTATCTTTCTCTCTTAAGTTGTTTTTCAGTATAAAATCAATGTTAACTAGTTACTGATAAACATAACAAATGATCTTTCACAGCATGCAGTGATGTTGAGTCCCACTATCCTAGACTGGCTCTTCCCGGGACAGGTGTCATACCACTCAAAAATCAGGTTAAGCTGGTTATGTAATTTCATTACAGTTGTCATTCTTGTCTGTCTATGCTCCTCTATCTTCAGAAATCAGTTGTTCCTCATTGTTTCTTACTCCAGAAAAATACTCTGTTTCTCGTGCATTATAAATCTTTACAGGATGGTCGGACTACTTCAAAAGTGGGTCCCCTTGATGGTGATTCTAGTAAAAATACTGAAAAGGCGTACGGAAATGGAAATATAACACCACGGTCTGCTTCATTAAGCTCTAGTCAGCTTCTCCAAAGGAAACTTTTTGCTGAGACCCAGGTCGGAAGGGCCAGCTTCCAAAAGCTAATGGAACCAAGCTCATCACATAAACCTGGAATTGCGCCTTATAGAATTGTCCTTGGGGATGTAAAAGAAAAGGTATCCTCTTTGTTCCTACAACACTAGTCAGATATGCTCTCTTGCTCAGACAACAAAGCTTTTATTGGAATTTGATACGTGGAAACTTAAGAATGATAGGTATGCTTTCCTTGAGGACTTTCTCCAGTACATTTCTCCACAATATGGTAGATGATGGTTCTGTTTTGATGGTATGGTACTGAAAAGATTTCAAAAGATGTCAAATCTAACAAATCTTTCTTCTTTGATACCCAAAATTTCTTTGTAAAATACAATGTATTTCAACAACCAGAACTTTATATTTAATTGCATGAAGAGAGTACAATTACAACTGTTCATTATTGTTATTCATCTTTTCTAAGTTAAATCTCGTGAAAACAATGTGCTTGTGCTTGTTTGGATTTGGTTTTGGAAGGGTGGGTTTGTGTGTTAGAAGAATTGTTTTTCTGAGTAGTAGGCCTTTGATTCCTTTCTGTTACTGAAAAAAAACAAAGTCAAAGCTGCTATTCCTGCACACAAAATATGTTGCTGTTTGTTATTACTTGTGTGCACATATGTAAGTCTAAGAATGAAAATGTGGAAACTACTCAGGGTTCTTCAGAGTGGGAATTTCCACCCCGGTAGTCATTTTGATAATTTGGTTTGCCAGATGGATCTTAGTCGCTTAGAGTTAATATATGGTTGATGAATGAACTTTTAGTTGTAATGAAGTAGTGCCTGAGTACCACCACTTCCAACTACTGGCCCGAGTTCTAGTTTTTCTTTTTTTGTTAAGCAAGAAATTGGTTGGTAGATATGAGAATAATAAATCAAAATTGATTTGACACACATTAGTTGGATTTTATAATTTGTGGAGGTAGTTTTCTGAGATATGTGTCAAAAACACACTTAAGCTATTTCATTTTTTTGAGTTTCATACCCAAACTATTGACAATGAGTTTCATACCTAAACTATCACTTATTAGTTTGAGAAACACACTCCTCTCTTTTATTACACTCTCTTCATGGTGTGTGTACTACACTCTCTCTTTTAATTAAAAAAAGTGTCACATCACACTCCACATGGACAAAACATTCCATATTGACAAAAATTAAATAAATTATTATTATTAGTTAAAACTAAATATTAAATAATTATTATCCCAAAAAAGCAATATTTATTGTAAAATATTTTCTTACCCCACTTCATTACTTCCTCTCACCGTACAGCCCCCCCCCCCCCCCCCCCAAATAATAATTAAGATATTATTTTTTTTAAAAAAAATAAAATAATTCTATCCCACTCCACCTAACCCCCGTTTCCAAATTTTTTTCTCGTTTTGTGTTAGACATACATATTTTTTTAGGAAAGTATATTTTACTTGCCACCGCAAAGACTTTTTAAAATAAAAATTTTATTTATGTTATATTTGGTACACAAGTAGAAAAAAATTTCTAAAAAAATATGCACATATATAACACAAGACGGAAAAATGTAAAAAACTAAAAATAAATTAGGAGTGGAGGGTTAAATAGGGTGGAATAGAATAAAATAATACAATATCAATTTTTTTGGGGAATGAGTGGGTGGTTTTGGGGGGGGGGGGGAGGAGGTGATGGAGTGAGGTAAGAAAAATAATTTAAATTTTAGTTTTTAAAAATATTTTTTTGGGAATAGTAATACTTTAATCTTTAATTTTTAATTAATATGAATAGTTTATTAGTTAATTTTTGTCAAAGTGGAGTATTTTATCCATGTAGAATACCATATGTCAAGGTTTTTTCCAAAAAAAGAGTGTATTACACACACTTGAGACGTGTTTCTCAAACTAATAAGTGATAGTTTAGGTATGAAACTCAAAAAAAGAGAATAGTTTAGGTGTGTTTTTGAAACTTATCTCTTTTCTTAACCAAATAAGATGTGAATTCCTGTCATGATAAAGGACAAGCTTGTATCCTCTAAGTTCAGTTTACTTGTGTATACTATGTGCAAGTAGGTGTTTGTTCCCTTGCATATTTGTTTGGATAAACTCAACTTTCTGATGTTTGAGGAGTTGAGGATAGGCTAATATCCTTTATCATAGCTACTGGCTAATGTGATAGTTTGATGATGTTTGAGAAACTACAGAAAATAAAATGCTATTTTCTAAAAATAATTTTGTGCTTTGTGGTAATAGCATATAACAGTCCTATTTCCAAATGCTTTTGTATACTGTTGTAGTGGTATTGTGTTGAAGTATGTATTAATACAGCTAATATGTCACTAAAATGAGGTACTTAGTTTGATCTTAGACTAAGAAGATTATAGGCAGATTTCAGGATGTGTCTATAGTTGATGGAATATGTCTTGTAAAATTATAAAGGGGAATACTGCTTATACATTAGAGGCATATTGGGTGGGCAGTTTTTTTCTTTCTTGAAGTGTAGTAACTCCATTTGATGAATAATTGGTGGGATGAAAATTGATTGATTAATTCACAACGAGGAATTATATCAATGTAGCAATTTCTTTTCTCCATGTTCCATATGGAACAATCCTAAGTTTGGAAGTTCTTATAGGCCTTAAAATTGAATGCCCAACTAATGTTTTTGGACTACCATAGTGTTTGATGATGGTAATCTTTTTTAAATTCAGCTCCTCAAGTCACGGAAGCGGCTGGAGCTTCTTCTTGAAGATCTTCCATGTGACCATGATCCTATGGATTATTATGAAACATCAGACCAGCTTTTGGAACCACTGCTTTTGTGCTATGACTCGCTGGTACTAGTCAATCCTCTTTGCTTTCGTAATCCATTTATGTACCTTCTAATTATTATTTAAGATTTCTGAAGAAAAAACTGTTAATACTCATGGACAACTCCTAGTTCTCAAAAATGTAAATATTGGGTGCGTTGCAGCAATCATGTGGGTCTGGGGTTCTAGCTGATGGCCGGCTTGCTGACCTAATCAGGCGGGTTTCTACATTTGGGATGGTCTTAATGAAGCTTGACCTTCGTCAGGTATATGTTTTTTCATGTTATTGATGAGTTTTAATGAAACACATGCTTATATCAAGCCAATGAATCAGGAATCTGGTAGGCACTCTGAGGCACTTGATGCAATCACAAAATACTTGGACATGGGTACATATAGTGAGTGGGATGAAGAACAAAAGCTGGACTTTCTGATCAAAGAGCTAAAGGGGAAAAGGCCTTTGGTTCCTCCTACTATAGAGGTAAGATAATGTACTCTGAATTCACAGAATTTAAATAATTTTTTGGAAACAAAAATCATATAATCAACAAGATGAAAGGAAGAAGAGTCAAGTCCTCTGAATTCACAGAATTTTCTTAAGGAAATTATTCCCCTCAAGTACCTGAGGTCATGGAATATATCCTCCCAAGATAAAATGACTCACGACAAACAAATAGTGGTACCTCAAATTTGTTGTCCAGTGAACAACTCAATAGCTTGTAATCACACTTGAAGTATTTGGAAAAGAAGAAACTTTTTTCTTACTATGTAGTGTTTTTCTTCTTGTAAACTTGTTTCAAAAACTTTTTGTCAATATTTGAGAAAGATTCAGATATTTATAGCCTATAGGTGAGCACAATGATTCATGCATGATATGTGAAAAGGTAGCCTAGAAATACGAAAGGTTGCATTCATCTGTCATGAGTATTCATGAACGGAATAACTTCATTCATACTTGCAACACTTTCACATTTTTAATTCACAAATCTTTATTCTATGTACCATTATCCATTCACACATTATACAATGAACCCAACAATGAGTACCTTAGTTTTACCACTTGAGTTGAAGTGTATTCATGTTGCAATTTAATTAGCTTCCTAAGTCTGTGGCCTGAGTTCCTTTATTAGATTACTGGTTCCTATTCTTCGTCTTGGACCTGAATGTTTTTTTAAAAAATCTTTCTATTATAGGTTCCGCCTGATGTCAAAGAAGTATTAGACACGTTCAAAGTAGCAGCTGAATTAGGAAGCGATTCACTTGGAGCTTATGTTATTTCCATGGCTTCAAATGTATGATCAATATTCACATGGTGTACACATAGGCTACCTTTGGCAGTGGTGGAATGGTTCAGCTAAATCTGCACAAAGGATATCTGATATCAAGTTTTGGGCTACTTGTTTCCATTATCTATTATATACTAACATTTTGATGCATCTTCATTTGGCAGGCCAGTGACGTCCTAGCCGTAGAGCTTTTACAGAAGGATGCACGCCTTGCTGTTGCTGGGGAACTAGGCAGGCCTTGTCCTGGTGGAACGTAAGACTGATATCTCTTTGGTTGCAGATGCAATAACAGAACTTTCTTCATGAGCTTACCCAAAAACTAATGTGCATTTGGATGTCTGGCTGTGCAATAAATATTCAGAATTAATATGACCTATATTCATGCAGTAGGGCTAATGTTAAGCCAATGAATTGTCTTTTCAGTGATCATCTTTTTTGGTACTTATAAAATTTCCATCTCATGGAAGGTGGTAATTTTTGAATTCTTATTCTTTAGCTGCATTCAGACAAGTTCACATGCCTACAGGGCAATCTCTTTTCCCCTTGATGATTAAGTATAATCTTTATGTTCTCCCTTACTTTCTTGCATTGTAGGATTAATGTTTATCTGTAGCTGGTTTCAGGGGTTTTCCTGTTGTGGTTCATAGAAAATTGTTTGATCTGGTTCCAAGGGAATCAAATTTATTGTGGAGTGCTAAATCAACAGAATTATGTTCATATATATTAGGTATCGAATCAGACCTAGGAAGGGCGACGGATCCCAGTTTCCAGACAAATGCTATTGGCATACTCTAAATTTACTTATGCATCCATGAGTGTGGAGTCCAATCTTTTTTTTTCATTGTCTGGTTTCATATAAGACATCTTTGCTAGATAAATATCTAAGTACCTAGTAACATATCTGCACTGAAACCAGTTGAGATGAGTTGTAAAATTAACATTGTTGCTCACACAGCCAGACCATTTAAAGGGAATATACCAATTGAAAAGAGGTAATGCTTCTATGATTATGAAAATAATGCTAAATGTTTCATGTATTGCAACAGACTGCGGGTGGTTCCTCTGTTTGAGACCGTGAAAGACTTGAGAGAAGCTGGCTCAGTGATTAGAAGACTACTATCAATTGATTGGTATAGGGACCACGTCATAAAGAACCACAATGGGCATCAGGAGGTATTTATGCCACGATGCATTAGGCTATCTAAAAAAGTTTCACTTTTGGGCTTAAGCTCATGGTTAGTATGCACAGGTTATGGTTGGTTATTCTGATTCTGGAAAAGATGCTGGCCGGTTCACTGCTGCGTGGGAGCTTTACAAAGCTCAAGAAGATGTTGTAGCTGCATGTAATGAATATGGAATAAAAATCACTCTGTTCCATGGACGCGGTGGAAGCATTGGTCGTGGTGGTGGTCCTACATACCTTGCAATTCAATCCCAGCCACCTGGCTCTGTTATGGTTTGTTTTCAGTTAAACTGTCTTGAAGCTCCTAATACATGCTATGTACCTGAAGATTTGTTTTAATTATATCATGGGTGCATTGATGTCAGATCAGGTTGTTCATAACCATATAATTTCAGTCACCATGTGGTAGTAACTGGCTACTCCATCTTAATGTCAAAGTAAGGAGAGTGTATTTGGATGGGAATTGGTTTTACTAAAGGTATCTTATATTTCCATAAATGAACCAGGAGAGAAAGCCGGACATGTATGTGTTCATCAACCTATTAAGAATTTATCGAACTTCTCTGGACAAAACATTCTAGTCTGAATTGCTACAAACTTCCTCCCTGCCTGTCTTGCTTCCTCTTCGTCTAAGACTTCCTTTTAATTTCTCATCTGACCACTCACAATCTGCTCTCTAAATTATCATGCATAACAAAATTTGATTAGATTCAAAAATATGGTCCCAATCAATGGACATTAGTTTGCTTATTCTTAAACTAAGGGTTTGCTCTTTAAATATTAGAACAGTTTGAGAATGATAAGTAATACTCTGCTTTGCTATCAGAAAAGCCTTAATATCACCTCTTATCATGCACTAAGAAGTCTTTTTAATTTATTGCTGAAATTATCAGGGTTCTCTTAGATCTACCGAACAAGGAGAAATGGTGCAGGCAAAATTTGGATTACCCCAAATGGCTGTTCGGCAGCTAGAGATATACACTACAGCTGTTCTACTTGCTACTTTACGTCCCCCACAGCCTCCAAGGGAACAAAAATGGCGTAATCTGATGGATGACATATCAAATTTGAGCTGCAGGAGTTATAGAAGCACAGTATATGAAAACCCTGAGTTCCTTACTTACTTCAATGAAGCAACACCTCAGGCTGAGCTAGGATTTCTCAACATTGGTAGCCGTCCAACAAGGAGAAAGAGTTCAGGTGGAATCGGTCAACTCCGTGCAATTCCATGGATATTTGCATGGACCCAAACAAGATTTGTCCTCCCTGCATGGCTTGGAGTTGGAGCAGGCTTGAAAGGTGTTTGTGACAAGGGACATACGGAAGACTTACGAGCAATGTACAGAGAATGGCCCTTCTTCCAGTCCACTGTTGATCTTATAGAGATGGTTTTAGGGAAAGCAGACATTCCTATAGCCAAGCATTATGATGATGTTCTAGTGTCTGAATCACGAAGGGGACTCGGTGCAGAAATGCGGAGGGAGCTCTTGACAACAGGAAACTATGTCCTACAGGTTACTGGTCATGAGAAGCTATCAGCAAACAACCGTAGCTTGCGGAGGTTAATCGAGAGCAGGCTTCCATATCTGAACCCAATGAATATACTGCAGGTGGAGATATTAAAGAGGTTGAGACGCGATGAAGATAACCATAAGCTTAGAGATGCATTGCTCATTACTATAAACGGTATTGCAGCCGGGATGAGGAACACTGGCTAAAGGCCAACAAGTTCAGGTATGATGTACACTTATAAATAAAATGTAGATGAAATTAGAGCTTATCCTTCTATAACCTATCAGTAGTTTTGATTTTCTTCACGTACTTCTCTATGGTATATTTTGTGATTAAGCATTTGAACGATCAAACATCGAATGCAATTTCCTTTCTTTTTGTTTATTACATATGATTTACGAATGGAGGTTACACACACTGCTTGGTGTATCTACTTGTTTTACATATCCCATAACTCATACCTGTCATACTGTGGTAAGTGGAGAATATGGTTCATCTTCTAAGAGGAAACATTCATAAAATGCAAGGTGTTTCCCTCTAATATGAATGGAATATAATATAATCTCATGTCCAAATCACAATACATCATATGTACTATGGTACCATTTTTGGCTTTTCCTTTTAAGCATATAATATAGGATTCTATATGTTCTTTAAAGAAGTTTCTACCTCCAACAAATATGAGTGAGGTTCAATCATCTTTTACAAAATCAATGTATAATTGAGAAACTTTCAAAGTTGCATAAAAATCTTTTCATTTTGGTAAAAATGGTGCTGTCCAGCTTTTTTTTGCCAGTCTTTGCTTAAGCTATGTACAATAACGGAGCCAAAATTTTCATTAAGTAGATTCAAAATATGAAGAAGTAAACATAATTAATATAATGTTTACTCCTTTTAATGACCACCTTGTATTTGAAATTCACTGGCTCAATTAATTTGTATTCCCAATGTGTAGAATCCATAAAAGAAAGAACTCCATATAAAGAATTTCTATATATTCTTAGAACTCGAATCCGTGACCTTTGATTATGATAGCCACCTAAGGATGATATTTTCTCCTTGTATTCTTCCAAGTCATTAGGGTTGTGGGAAGTCATTTCATTTCCTTTGTTGAATTCTTGTTTGTGACCCCAACAGGCAATTAACTTTCCACCATTCAGTCATTCACTTTATGACAAAAGAAAGAAATTATGGAGAAAACGAGATGCACAATTTTGTAACTTTGTATCTTAAATGGTCACAATGATCATCATGAAAATCTCATTATTTATACCACAAGTTCTTATTACAAACCTCGTTATAAATCAAAATCATATGGAACTAAAAGTTCTTTTGACATATGTACTATACCTTAAGGGCTCAGTTGAAGAATAAGTTATTTCAGGATTAGTTATTTCGGGATTGTTATTCTATCCTCAATGTGGGATAAAATAATACTGTAATAATCTTGGAATAAGTCATGATCTTGCGATTTTATGCCAATCAAATATGGGATAAGCTCATCCTAAAATTATAATAATTGAATCAACTTTGAACTGAAAAGACCAACATGGACTGTAGTAGGATAGTTGAGATTCCTTCATCCTTAATTAATGGTCTTAGGTTTGAGTCCCCTAAAATGGAAACAATTTTGTTAGAAATGTCGTCGTCTCTAGAAATGAGCTTTGTAATGCGCGAATTCAAATTTAGTCGAATGTCTCAATCAGATACCAAGCACTATATAGGAAACGATCAAAAAACCTTTAAATTGAAAAGACATTGATGGGGATGCAAATATAGTAGTGTCCATAAATAAGGACACATTACTTGCAACTATCTAGCTAGCTGCAGGCATTATATGATAAGATGTTAGTGTGTGTAGTGTCCATAGTCTCCTCATTCATAACCTTGAAAGTGTACACATTTCATGTCCACAAGTTAATTACGATCGAGTTTGGGAAAATTCAGTAACTATGATCCAAACTTTGTATCTCGATTAAGAAATTCACTTAATATATTATATCTATCCCAAATACAATTATTGTCATGTCCTATGATTCAGAACCCATCGTGATACCAAAATTAACGGAGAGCTAGTTGACGAGAACGTGTCAAGGAGAATCCTGACAAATTACTTCGAAGTTGGCAAGCTTTTGATAAAAAGAGTGTATATGACCGTACTTTAGACAAATCTCACATCGAAAAGGAATATAAAATGAAGTGCTAATTGAATACTACAAGAAATGTGTATTGTGGCGACTCCAAAAAGTCGCCGCAAATAAGAATGTTCTTTCTAATCCTTGTTCTTTTAGCTATTTGTTAATTGGGTCTGGATCCCAATCAACTTTTGTGAAGGCCTTCCAGTTCTACTGCTTCTTCTCGATCCAATAACTAATTATGTGACATCTATATAGATATCAAACCCGATACATTTGGTCAAGGACAAAATCTTACTACTTTAATACTATATTTAAAAAGATTCTACATCTATGGGTGTCAATTTATAAGATCAACTCAACACCTTATCGGGAATGTCAGAATAAATATATAAAAATATACATATTACTAAAAAAAAAAAAAAAATCTTTTGGCATTTACTTTAGAGTCAAACATGTGTAATTTAGTGTGAATGATAACATACAATTAAGTTATAGTGGACGTGATTATATTTATTTAATTAAGGACCTAATTATTAAGTCTTTGCCCTTAGCGATAAAATCCATCATTTAAGTATGGATTATGAACCAACATTACTTGAAAAGCATGTTAGGGTCAACTAGCACTATGAGAAGCACTTTAAAAAAAAAAAAAAAGTGTAATTTATACACACTATACAGTGTAATATTTTTTTAATTACTGAAAACTTAATGATTACAAGCTTGCAGCTAACTATTCATAATATGAGACATTAATTACTTAAAGAAATGGTAATAATAATGTGATGCCCTTAGGAAGGGTGAGCTGATTAGAACGAGTTAAGTAGGACTGACAGACTTTTAGACCGATAAATTTTTAAAGATGAACTTAAAGCAAATTTACCATCGAAGAGAAAAAAAAGAAGAAAAGGAATAAAAAGTATAACTCAAATTAAATTCATATGAAATACTCACGTCTTTAGGCTCTATATTTATTAGACCAAAAAATAAATTTATATGTATCTAAAGTTTAAACGAACAATATGTGTCATAAATTTAAACTTTGCAAACAAATTAGCTTAAGATAAAGCTAGTTGTATAAAATTGTATTTTACATATGTTACTGATTACATTAGATATAATTAATAATAGCATGAAAATGACAACCCACCAAAGGAGACCTTAGAGATCGAGTAGTCAAAACAAGATGCCCCTCCGTATATTTTTATTTGTTCAATTTAAATTTTGCATGCCTATTAAAACATAATATAATTATCTCAATATCTATATTAAGATATTTAGTCTTAAATCTTGAAAAATAAATTTTAAAATAACTAATCAATACTAAAAATCATTAAATTATGAAAGAATATTTTTTCTATTCATAGGCTAGAAAAAGTAAAAGAATCTTAATTTGCCACGTTAACGTTGGACAAATTTTGCAAAGCTCATAATTCAACATATGTCACATTTTTTTATAAAAAAAAAAAAATCACTTTCTTGTACCTTTTGTTTTTCTCCCTATAATATAATTCAAGTCTGCAAGTTTCAACAATATGTGTCCATTTGTCTAAAGAAAAATCATTTTAAGAAAGTAAATTTTATTCTAGTTAAAAATAATAGGAGTACTGTATATTTACTTGAAACAAAATTGTTTTAAAAAGTTAATTTATATGATTAAAGTGTAGGTTTACTAATAAATACATAAATTTTACTCCCTCTGTCCCATTTTATGTGCCAACATTTGACCGGGCACGGAGTTTAAGAAATAAATGAAGACTTTGAAATGTTTACCAAATTGCCCTTTAAAAAGTAGACTCACTTTTCTCTCTCCTCATAAATGTTTTGGAGTATTATTTTAAGATTAAGTGGTATCAACAAGGGTAAAAGAGGAATTGTACCATTAAATACTTATCATATAAGGAAATGTGACATTCTTTTTGGGACTGACCAAAAAGGAAATGGTGCCACATAAAATGGGACGGAAGGAGTATATATATATAGTGGCTGAGTCAGGATTTTCAATAAGGGGGTTCGAAATCTGAAGAAGTAAACACACGAGTTAGTCGAAGGGGGTTCGACATCTACTATAGATATCTAAAAAATAATTTGAGGAAATTTCGCATATAGCCACTCAAAAATAGCCTTATTATGCTCCATAGCTATAGTTTGATAATTACAATTCGTAGCTACATGTTATAGGGAGGAGAGAGGCGAGCGAGATTGGGAGAGAGAGGAGAGAGGGCAGAGAGTGGGAGAGATGTGAATTGTATATGTATATCGGTTAGATAATTGTATATTATACATATGTATTTGTATATATGGCAAGCGGGATTGAGAAAGGGAGGAGAGAGGTGAGCGAGATTGGGAGAGGGAGGAGAGAGGCCAATAATTTGCATCTCATTTGTATAATTTGTGGCTATGTTTGTATAATTCGCTTGTTTTTGTATATTGAGTAATATAAAGTCTAAAATTATACAAATATGATAAAACTTGAAATAACGAATTGATACAAATATAAACATATGAACTTTAAACAATTATACAAATTACATTATATAAATTATATTATACAAAATCTGAAAACTACATGTTTATACAAACTTTAAAAAGTTATACACAAAAAGATTGAATAATGTATATGGTGACAAAACTAAAAAACCAAAGCAAATCATCCTCATATACAAATATAAATCATCGTATACAAATACAAATCAAACGAAGAATTGCTTATTGCTAATTATACAAATGTGGCGAATTATACAAACGTGGTTGATTATACAACTCGAAGTCAGCACACATAATTAATGGTTAATGTTAGTCATGAGTGATAATTATAGCAAACTATAGCTATGATGAGTAATTAATTAGTATAAATTTGCTTAACCGCGTAATTTTTCTAAATAATTTTAACCATGTATAAGTAGTACATTTTACTTATAGCTAAATATTTCTCCTATCGTGTACGCCAGGACATAAGGTAGCATTAATTTATGCAGTTTTTTAATAGAATAAATATTCTCTAAAGAGTATTTGTCACAAAATACACAAAGTAAAATGAATTAAATGATGCCATTTAAACGAATAATAATTATATTGATTCCACCCTTAAAAGTATATATGGTTCATTCCTATTACGACACTTTTTTTTCATCAAACATTTTTTATTTTGTTATAGATATCTACCACAATTATATCTTAAAATTTAAATTAATCTTTCTTTATATAAAATAGGCAAAAAAACAAATATAGTGCAAAGCCTTTTTTTCC